CGCTGGGATCCAGGTGCTTTAAGAGCGCGAAGCCTGAATAACATACGCTGATAGAAGCAGCGGTGCCAGAACCGGTGAACGAAGCTGCCATCTGCACTTGGTTCTGGCTGCAAGCAGTGCACGTCTTTTTGGCCAGCCCCGTGCGAACATGTGCAGTCAAGTTATTTCTGTCATGATGATTAACCTCAGAAGTTTAATTAAACTCTGAAATCTTGGCTTTTCTACTCCAAATCGCAAAATAGCTGGGTGAAAGATATGGAAAGATTAATCCCAATTTCAGCCTCTTTGGAGATGTTCAGAAAAGATTAAAAAGTTGTACCACTTCACAGCTGGAAAATGTTAATAGTGAAGCAGGGCTTTCTGTTTTAAGCTTCTGTAGATCTTGTTTTCTATAAATATTAATGCTGCTTTTCACAAGCTTACTACGAGTACCTCACAGCTCCTTTTCCGAGCCTGACATATGCTGCTTTTTTCCCAGACGCGGAGGGGATTCTGAAAATTAAAGAGGAGAACCAGAAGCATTACCGCAGGGCTCAGCGCCATCAGGAGAAGAAAGAGAAGATCCAGAGGCATAACTGCAAGCTGGGAGACTTGGTCGAGAAAAAAACCTATGACTTGAAAACCCAGTATGAGCATCTGGCAAAACTTCGTCGGACGCGTATCCTGGAGCTAACATCAGTCATATTTCCCATTGAAGAAGTAAAGGCAAGCATGAGGTACAGAGGGCTTATCCTTTTAGACTCCTTTGGCTTAGCTCTAGACACCCAGAAGTGAGTCACGTAAGCCTAAGCTACGTGCTCTGGCTCCCTTAGCATCCGTGGGGAGAAGGAGGTGTTTCCCAAAGATGTTTTCCATCTGACCCAAAGGTAGAGATCCAGAACAGAAGAATCTGGAGGAGGTGCTAGCATCGCCCTACTGAGAGATCTGAGCTATGTGTCCAAGGTTAAACTTCCTTAATTAATTCATTAAAAATCCCAGAGCGAAGGAAAGTAGTTTTGGGAATAAGGAGTTTTGCAGGAGTGTTCCCACAAGCGTTTTGTTCCCTGTGAAATCTGGCTGAGCGCCTGCCAAGTATATCGCCGTACTGGGTGATGGCATACAGTTTTGTATTTTGAAAACTCCTTGAAAAACCCTCTGTTCCTCTTTGGGTGCTACAGGGATCCTGCAGACGTGTCTTCCGAGAGTGACAATGCTATGACCTCTAGCACTGTGAGCAAGCTCGCGGAAGCCAGGAGAACCACGTACCTCTCTGGGAGATGGGTGTGTGATGACCATAACGGGGACACCAGCATCAGTATCACAGGGCCCTGGATAACCCTTCCTAACAACGGAGACTACTCGGCGTATTACAGTTGGGTGGAAGAGAAGAAGACTACGCAAGGACCAGGTAAGGAGGAAGGGCTGATCAGGCATCTGGGATGATCCAGAAGCCACACAACCTGCAGCCTTGGATGCTGGGAAAAGGTGCCAAGGAGCAGTAGCCTCATCCGTTCGTTCCCACGCGGACAACCCGAGTCAGAAATCAAAGCCAGTATAGGGATTGGTCCACTGAAATCCTCTTTTGCAGGGAACGCTTACTGGGACTCAGCGCAATGCAACAGAGCGACAAAGTTAATTATTCACAGTTTTGACATGGTTCACATGCTGTCATTTTAACAGGAATTCCAAGAATTACTATTTTCTACCAACTTCTGACAGATTGCGCTGTAAATGATTGCTGGATTCAGGCTGTTCTCAATACTTACAAATGACATTTTCCAGAGGAGGCTTCAGTAAGACATTAACACCCCCACTGAGGCTTCCTTTCCAATGAGACTTTCACGATGGTTTTCTTTCTTTTAGACATGGAACACAATAACCCTGCTTATACCATCAGTGCTGCGCTGTGCTACGGGACTCAGCTGGTTAACACTTTGTCTCTCATACTTGACGTGAATCTTCCCAAGAAGCTCTGCAACAGGCAAGTAACTGCAAGCCTCCGAGGAGGTGAATCAGTGACCAGTTTTGTCTGATCTGCATTCAGTTTGGTTTTGTGAACAAAGTCAGCGCTTGGAACAGCCGTTGTGGTAACGGTGGTTGGCTGGGGGATCGCTGTTTCATTTCAGGGGGAGGGCTAGTAGGATTTTAGAGCACAGTTCATAGTCCCTCCCTCCTTTTTTAACTCCTGAGCGGGGTAGACCAACCACCATAGTTGAAAATAACAGCTTTCTAAGTGGTGTATTCAGCATCCTCAACTTAGAAATGAAATGTGACATTCTGTGAAGAGTAATTCCCATTTTCATAGAATCCCAGAATGGTTTGGGTTGGAAGGGACCTTAAAGATCATCTAGTTCCAACCCCCCTGCCACGGGCAGGGACACCTTCCACTAGACCAGGTTGCTCCAAGCCTCATCCAGCCTGGCCTTGGACACTTCCAGGGATGGGGCATCCACAGCTTCTCTGGGCAATCTGTCCCAGTGCCTCCCCACCCTCTCTGTGAAGAATTTCTTCCAGATATCTAATCTAAACCTCCCTGATTTCAATTTGTACCCATTCCCCCTTGTCCTATCACTACAGGCTCTTGTAAAAAGTCCTCTCCCAGCACCCTTGTAGGCCCCCTTTTTCTGAGACCCTACTGTGCTGTACAAAATCCCAGCCCAATTCAGCAGCTCAGTCATCTTGAATAGCTCCACTGCCTTAAGTGCTGCAGAGCGAGGCCTTACGGTGTGGCCCGACAGCGGTGTAACTCTCTCCAGGAGAAAATGCCAATGGGGACGGACCTGCCTGCCGGATGTCTGGGAGCGTATTGCCTAAACCCCATTTGTGATGAGGGAAAGCTCTGTTAGCTTTTTACTATCTATGTGGAGCAGATGGGATCTGTAAGGACGTACTGAGGAAGCTGTAGAGACCTTGTTGGTCTTCCAGAGGTCTCAGATACGCTGCTGAGATTAAGTAGTGCCGAAGTGAGGGCACAAAAGTTGTGTCGGGTCTCTGCAGGGGTTTTTTTATACTCTTATTTGGGTGCTCAGCCTTCACAGAAGGAAAAGGTTGGGAATGGGCAATGAGGTGAGATGTAAAAGGAGAGCTGAAATAGCTTGGCTGCAGTGGATCTCCGAGTTTCTTACTCTTTACATCCCCTGTCCTGTTGCAACTGGTGAGACCGGGGCAAGCGGTGCTCGCTGATGAAATGCTAACAGTCTGGCAAGGTGAAAAATCAATCTCCTGGGCACTCTGATGCTGGCTGTACAGTTTAAACAAGCGCTGGCTGCAAGCAGGATTTGTGAGGAAGCCAGGGCACGGAATGCTGATGTCTCCAGCAGCTCTGTTTTCACAGCATTTTGCTTTGTGTGTATCTCTGTGTGTATAATGCGTGCGGTGTTTCAACAGCGAGTTCTGCGGAGAGAATCTCAGCAGACACAAGTTCACGCGGGCAGTGAAGAGGCTGAATGCGAATATCCTTCACCTCTGCTTCTCTCAGGTAGGGGCAACACACATTTGGATTCTTTAAATAGCTTTTAAAATAGCAACTGTGCCCTCAGGTTTCCTCCAGTAACTGATCCTGTCTTTCTCTTTCCTTCCCCATGGTAGCATGTAAACTTAGATCTGTTGCACCCCCTGCATACGCTCAGGAACCTTATGTACCTGGTCAGCCCCGACACGGAGAACTTGGGCAGGTAAGAAAAGCAGTATCTCTGCTCCCCTGCGACTGAACCCCTTCTGAAGTTCTGCATTTGCCTCGTTACTTTTAGGGAAACTCTTCTGCTGTACCTATAGATCAGTCCTCAGCACATCAGAAATCAGGGGTAGCTACAAGGAGGCAGCAGAGAACAGAAAGAGGGGTCCTGAGTAGGAAATCAGGTTTCAGAGACGTGTGTGGGCTGTGTTTCTGCGTATGGCAGGCTCAGCTGGAGGCTTTGGAGCTGATCACAGGCTGGTTTTCCCTACGCCCAGAGCAGGAACCGCTTCCATCCAGGGGACAGCAGCGTGTATGCCAGGCTCCAAATATGACCCTACCCCCGTCTTCCCATCGTGTAAATATCTAAGAGCATCCAGCAGTATGAACCCTAAAATGAATGCTAGGCAAAGGTTTCCCAAAATACCAAAATACTTCCAGTCAGTGATCACCTTCGACCAAAGTTGACACTTTAAATATTAATTACTGATGTAAACTAAGATTAAAGACAACTTTTCTGTTAATATGTGATGAAAAGGACATCAGTTCCTGTGGGCTGCATGCACCAGGCTTAATAATCTTCCTTTTATTTATAACTTAAATATAAGAAAGCCAACAGCATTAATTTCCTGTTGGGATAACAACTTTTTCCAAGGACAGGGAGTGACAGGACAAGGGGTAACTGGGAGATTGAGACTGGACATCAGGAAAAAGTTCTTCCCGGAGAGGGTGGGGAGGCACTGGGACAGGTTGCCCAGAGAAGCTGTGGATGCCCCATCCCTGGAAGTGTCCAAGGCCAGGCTGGATGAGGCTTGGAGCAATCTGGTCTAGTGGAAGGTGTCCCTGCCCATGGCAGGGGGGGGGGCTGATGGGTGTTTAAGATCCCCTCTCACCCAAACCATTCCATGATTCTAATCCAGTGACAAGTCACTTCTGCCTGAGGCAGTCTGCAGGTATTTAATTTGACTACCGCTTTATTCCCCTCAAACACAGTAGCGTTCCGAAATGTACTTTTCCACTTTGTTCTCCTGTACGGATCTATTTTTATTTAAACACCTATGGTGCCACTAAGAGGAACTGACTGCACGCCTCTCCCCACTCGCCGTGTGTTCTTTGGGTATATCCCTACGGACTCAGCCCAAAGATATGGGGAGTCACATCTTTACCGTAGCTCAGCTTGGCAAAACGGAAAACAAAAAGAGGTTACAGGGAAGAGTCGGAGAAAATATCTACTGGTGAGGGGAATAGGTCAGTCTCCATAAAACTGTCCGGGCTCGCTTGAGGCTGAGAGGTGACTTGCTTTTCACGCCTTCGCGGGGAGAAAATCCAGGGTACGGAGTGGCTTTGACGACCCCATTGGTAGCCAAGAGTCTGAGCTGGGCTGCAGCGAGGTGCACGCGCTTAACGCGGGGTTTAATTGCCCACAGGAACGGAGGTGGGGATTCCCCGTTTCCTTATGCCATCCTGCCGAGGCTGGATGGGTTTCTGGAATGGATGCTTCCATCGGGCAGAAGTTACAGGGCAGCGGGTGGAACGTAATGGCTTTTGTTACAGAGGAGGTCACTGGAGATGACCTGACGGGCCCCTCTGGTCTGCAGCCTGATGACTCTTCTTGCGTTGCCTCGTTAAGGAAAACGCTTTGCCGGAAGGCAGCGGTCCCATTCCCTTCCGGATTATGAAAGAGGAGTGTTTACCTTTTGTTTCTCTGCTGTCTGCAAGATTTGCAGCACCCAGCTCTATTTTCCTTTAGTTATCTAGGCCTATAGTTGCCTGAGAGTCTCCTTTCTAAGCTAGTTTTCAGATATGTATCATTTTACCAAGCTTTAATTGTCTGGATTAAAATTTTCCATGCTAAATCGCTGATTCATAGAAT